GATTATATCCTTTATTTTTTTTAAAAGTTAAACAATATTCTCTGTATATTTTGTTTTATACTCTCTCGTGCCATGAAATTGATCATCTTTCTTTTGGGCACTCATATTAAAAAATATTGTATTATATAATTAATTGATTTGATTAAGTGATGTAATATTTGTAATGAAATATTATTTTAAACATTTTTATTTGATAGAATAACAGAATATATGTTAAAATATTTTTATTATAATTTTTTAATATTGAATATTTTATAAATTGATTTTTTTTTTTTTTAAGATTGTCTGGATTATAAATTAATATGTGCAATTATAATAATAAAAAATAAATTGAGTTTAATAATTTAAATGCAATTAATACAATATAAATTATAATTATAAAAAATTTAAAATAAACAATACATCAAATTTCTTATAAAAATGGTTCATTGAAATATCAAAATTTTTACCACATATTGTATATTGTATCAAGATTTTTTGATTTAATATTTTATTAGTGCCGATATCATATCAACAATTTGATATATCTAATTTATAGATGAAAATATACCGAATTATCGAATAACGCATATACGGTATAAAAGAATACTGAAAATTCCAAATTCTCTGTATGATATGATACGACACCGAATTTTTTTTGATATTTTAACAACATACAATTTGATGTTTTTAAAATATATAGAAAATAAAAGAAAAAAATTTGATATTTCGGTATATATACTGAATTTTTTGTCAATATCAATAAAAAACTAAAAAATTCAATAGGGTATACAATATAATTCGATATTTTTAATATATTGTCACGAACCATCCTAAGCGAATTGCATATTCGATATCAAAATATAATATTTTATTTTAAAATACTAAAATTAAAAGTAATTTTTTAAGTTTTCATGTAACTGTGTTTTTTTTAATATCTTTTTTTATGAAGAAAAAATAAATTCAAAATCAAATATCATTATTAACTAATTTTTCAATCATAAAATACAAAATCAAACATTAATTTTTATTATATTATATTAAAAATTAATTTAAAATTTTAAAATTACATAAATATCTATTTATATATATTAAATCAAATATTTACTTTAATTTTTATTATTCAAAATTATAGTCTATTTTTCAAACTTACAATTAAATAAACAATTAACTTATAAATATGAGTAATTTAATTGAATGTAATTAAAATTTTAATTTTAATAATTATTGATTAATTATTACTATATTAAGAAAGTTAACTAATTTCGTCCGACGGCCTAAAAAGAAAAAATAATTAATTTGACGGGAGAAAACAGCATATTACTATATAATTTTTTTAAAAGAAAAAAAATTACAAATAACATCAAATATTTAATATAAATATTACTTATAAAATTAAAATATAAACATATAAAATAAGTTATTTTATAAATAATTAAAAAAAAATTACAAAGAAAAGAAATAAACAAAGATAAAAGTATTGTTTATGCATATATTTTTGTCTGTTTGTTTTGGGATTTGGATTTTGTGTTGGGATTTGAATAGTAAAAATTTTGAATTTGAATAATTGTATGATGTGATATAAATAGGTGTTGATGTAATGTTTTGAATGTAAAATTGATTTTTAGCAGGAGTATAATATAAAAAATAAAAAATAAATATTTGATTTGATATATTTAAAAGAAAAAAATAGAATAAATAATGTATTTAAAATCCAATCGGCCAAACAAACACACCCTAAGGGTAATAATACATAAAAATTAAAATAAAACAAAAAATAATAATAAAAAAACACCCTCTTCGTTGAGAAGGTGCTCAACCCAGCAGAACTCTGCCTCATCCTCTCAGGTTGAGAGGGTGATAACTGCAGTTTTTCAGGGTGGGTTGGAAATGGTTTCAGTACCAAATTAATAATAGATCAGATGTAAAAAAGTAAAAAGACGAAGTTCATTGTTGCTGATTTTCTTAAAAATAATTTATATATTACATAGTATTCATTATTTTTATATTCTTCTATAAAAAAATATCTTTTCAAAATATCTTATAATACAAACACCGGCTTGCTTTTATTTTTAAAAAAAATTTTGAAAATGATATTTTTAAATTGCACCACGTGGCACAATATGAACACACGAAATATATGTTTCGGTGCAGGATCAAACGAGTTGAGCCCCAAACCTCAATTTTAACACAATCCACTGCATTTAGAGATGTCCTAAGAATCGGGATAAATAGTGATTTTTTAATTTAAAATAAAAAATAAACATATTTATTATCGCATTTTGCCTTTTTAATAAACTTGTTTATATTTTTCACATTTTCACTATATTGTCTAATATTTTTAAAATTGAATTTATGTCAAAATATTGTTTATAATGTTTTAAAAAATAATTTTTAGTTTATTGAACAATTTTTATATATTTGACCAGTAAAAAATATTAATACAAGGGGTGCTAATATGGTTGTTTATATATAAATAATTAATGATATTTTATACTCTCTATCTCATTGAAAGGTTGGAATTTTTTATTTTCGTTTGTCCCAAGATAAGGTTACCATTTTCTAATTTAGTAAATGTACTACCTACGTAATATAATAAATACACTTTCAACTTACACTATATTACACAAATGTCATTACTTTTATATTACACAAATGTCATTACTTTTATATTACACAATAATAATAGGATATTTTCGTCTTTTTTTCACTACAACTCATTATAATACTAATATTAAAAAAAACTACGTGCAAAAAGTAAACGACAACCTTGCACTAGGACGGAAGGAGTATTTTATTTTCAAAATATTTAGGTGTGTAACATTTTTTAGAAATTTATTACTAATTATTGAAAATTATAAAAATATTATTAAATTATTTTTTGTAGATATTTTGTAAAAAGAAAAAACTGATGTATTTTTATTGAAAAATATGAATATTTTTTTATTAAAAATAATATAAAATATATAAAAAAACAAATTATTCATATGTTTTTTTATGAGGATAGTTTTTAATTAATTTATTATTTTTACAGAAATTTATAATTTTAAATAATTATTTTTAATAACAAAATTTATGTGATAAATATATATAATTTAATTAATAAAAATTAATATTTTCTATTTTTTTTTATTAACAAATTTAAATCTTTTATAAATAAAATCATTTACATATAAATTATTGTAATATTAATAGAAATATTGATTATTTCTACCGCTAATCACTATTTTATATATTGTATATATTATATAATATAAAATGTGTATATATATATATAGAGGTGTGTTTGCATATATAATATATAGGAGAGTAAGAAATATATTATTATTATTATTATTATATATATATGTGAGTTGTATAAAATGGACAAGCATTAGAGAGAGAGAGAGAGAGAGATTGATGGAGTAAGTAATGGTAACATTTGATTTCATCCATTCACCATATATTTATATTACACCATATATTTATATTTGCTTGAGCCACGCAGCATCCATGATTTGTACACAAAATACGTGTACAACATAATCAATAATTTTAATGATTCTAAATTTATAAAGTAAAAGTTATAGTTTAATAGAAAAGATATATTAAAATAAATAATAAATAATACTATAAGAAAAATATTAATATATATATAAAGAGATTTAAAAACAAATAAAGAAAAAAAAATTATTCTAAAATACAGAGGTACAAAGGATTTATTTGTTTAATGTTTTGATTTGAACGAAGTATAAGAAATTATGTCAATAATTTAGAAAGATAATATTGATTTTTGTAAGAAAATAAAATATATATTGAAAATAGTGTTAAAAGAAATTTGGCCAAGCAAATCCAATATTTTAGAAATCAAACTTTTAGAATGTTATAACTTATATAAAACAAAATTAGATCACCGGTTAACCCAACGAAGATATTGCAATCAAAGATCCAAAATAAACAGATTCTTTCACCTTTTGGGTCAGCTCAGCCTTGTAATAGTCCATAAGAGGAGGTCCCGATGTGGACTCGATCAGAAGGTGACGTGGAAAGCTGTTTTGCTACTAAACCCAAAATCGATCCAAATCAGATGTTAGTTGGAAGCCCAAAGTTGACAAGCTTATTTCTTGCAGCCACAGGGCCAAGTCAAATGTTAGTGGGAGATCCAAAGCTAACCCATCCTTAAAACCTTCGTGTATTCATTTTTTGGGCTAAGTACAATACGTCTCTCTAAAAATAATGTTCAATTTTGATATTTTTGTTTTCCATTCATTTTTAAATTGCATAATATTTTTTGTCACTTTGGCTGAATTTAATTATGTTTTTCCCACATCCTGGCTCATTTTGCTCTCTTGTCCTAACGAAAGCAACTGAAAATGGTAAAATCTTTGAGGATCCAGGTAGTTATTGAGGACATGCATTTTCTTGAATTTAGATGCTCATTGTGTCAAGTTATTGGCCTCAAAACTAACCTTCTCAAGTGTAGCTTCATCGAAGGGTAGGTGCTTATTAAATGGAAATGGAAATGGTTGCTGCTTTGATCCATATCCAACAATGTCCGGGGAGCTTTTTTCCATTAGAATCAAGACTAGATGCTTACTAAATGGAAATGGAGTTTTGGAATCAAGTTTAGGATGAAAAGGGAATATTGAAAAGCCTACTACGACGGAGGTGCTCGATTGGGATTAGGGCGAAGCTCAATTGCGATTAGGGAAACTCCGAATTAGGGATGCCGGTTCTAGGGCTTCGGGATGGTCGATTTAAGCTATCTTAATAGGCATATGTGCTCATCACGTGCATATTCCGGTTAGAAGCTTAGCAGAAAATATGAATATTCCACTTAAATTATAGTGAAGTTCAAAGACAATTATTGCAAATTTAAGATTGTAAGAGCATCTGTAATGCCATCTTTCTAATAGAAAAATTATGTAATTTTGTTTGGACACGGAGATTAAGAAGTAATGATATATGTGGTGTGAATGCCCTAATAAATAGAAACCGAGAACGGAAGTAATTCTATGCATGCGAATTATAAAAGCCATAGATATTATCAAAGCATTCCATTATCGTATCAAAGCACGAAATGTATACATAGCCGTCGGCTGTGTTCACAACTCAAGTCACCGTCATTATGCAACACTATGCTTTGAGACCAGAAATATGAGAAATACATAACAAAATACGTTTAAAACCAGAATGATGAGCCACAAAATACTTTTTAAGACAAATGTAATTTTAATTATTATCAAGGGAACGAGAAACCATTCGCGGTCATTCCTCCATCGAGAGAGATAATTTGACCTGTGATATAAGACGCCGCCGGAAGACAAAGGAAAGCGACCAAGGATCCGACTTCTTGTGTCTCCCCGGCACGCCCAAGTGGTGTTTCAGCTTTTACCTTATTAAACAACACTTCATTACTCGCCAGCATCTGCGATCAAATTAAACATTAAAGAAGGATTATGATCATAATATGCAAATGGAAAAAGGTTGCACCATTGCTTAAAAAATCATTTTCTTAAATTAAATAAATAAAAAGGCGAACAATCTATCATTTCGCAATAAATAACACACAGACGTAGGATATTTTATGCATTTATAATAAAAACAGAAGGATATTGTACAATTTACTCTTACTATTATCATTTTGTATATAAACGAGCTGCACTGAGCCTTACACAAAGAAATCGCGCCTAATAGAATTATAAAATCCTATAAACAAGACATAACTCTCCATTCTCCCAAGTAGTAGGAGCTATATTCTTCATTATGATATGATAGACCAAATTATTTTTATTGGAAAGGATAAGGGTGAATATTATTGATTTGAATTTAAAGTGATGAAAGAACAAACCCAAGCTATAATTTTTTTCACTCTCTATAAAACCTCCATGCTCTGCCATTAAGTTTGGCAGGGGATTTACCTGGAATGCAACTTCGGATTCCCATGTTATAAGAGAAAAAAGAATAAAGAGAACTTACAGATTTCACAGCAGGTGTATTGATGAACCCGGGAGTGATGGCGTTGACCCGAATGTTGTCCTTTGCCCATTCGCAGGCTAAATTCTTTGTCAGTTGGTTCACGGCAGCTGTAAGATGATATATTTGCAAATTAATACAAAATGAGACGATGATGATGATCGGAATGCAATGCAAACAAACAAAATTAATTACCTTTGCTGGCTCCATAAAGAGATCCGACAAAGACATGGGTGAGACCCGCAACAGAGGAGATGAAGACGATGCTGCTGTTCCCAGCAGCCTTGAGAAGAGGATGAGCCAGCTGGCATAAATGGAGACAGGCTTCAAAGTTGGTAGACATCACTTCCGAATAGTCTTCAGCAGTGAAATCAACTGTTGGCTTAACCACATTAGCCCCAGCATTGTTCACCTACAACTCCAATTACAACAATTCAATCAATTTCAAAATCCATCAAATCAAAATCAAAATCAGAAAAATCAAAACAGAGTAGTGTATTAATTAGTGAATGGCTACTTACAAGGATGTTGAGCTTGCCATTGAAAGCGGAGGACGCGCTCTCGATGAGCTTTTCCCTTTGTTCCCGGGAAGACGCATCGCACACGGAGCCACTGACCTTGTAGCCCTTGGAAGCCCATTCCTGGAGGCGGTGGTTGAGATCGTCGGCGTTCCTGGCGCAGGTGTAGACATGAGCGCCCATTTCAGCGAGCTCTTCCACGATGCCTTGTCCGATGCCGCGAGTCCCGCCGGTGACCAGCGCAGTGTAGCCGGAGAGCGACCATCTGGAATTTGAACTTGAACCCTTTGCTGCCATCGGATCGATTTCGCGGGCCGGCCTGTGTCTCTGTGGTTGGTTTTGCTAGTAATTAGGGTTTTAGAATGAGGGTGGGTGTTTATCGAGATCGAATTTATATAATACTCAATTCATTCCATGGCGTGCTTGCCCTCGAGATCTACAATTACAAAATCGTAGACTGGAACGGTGATGAACTACTCATAAATGAGTCAAATTAAGGCGGCGTCTAGAAACACTTTTTTATTGTTTCCCTTGCAGTAATAGAATCCGTCCTTTCTCTGAACCCACTCCGCCTAAAATCCACGTCGGATTTGGGGGGCTAATTTTGGAAATTTGCAAGAATGTGGTTTACTTTTTTTTTTTTTTTTTTTTTTCATATAAGACAAAAATATTTTTATTAGTATTGTCTAATATAAAAAGTAATGATATTTCTGTAATATAGTAAATTGAAAGGGTATTTATTATGTTAGGTAGGTAGTACAGTTACTAAATTAGGAAATATTAACCGTTTTTTGGGATGAACGAAAATGGAAAATGTCAACCTTTAAATGAGACGGAGGGAGTATATATTTTCAAGAAATCTTTAATACCCCGATCATCCACATTTAAAATATAATATTTACCATTTTGCGTCATTATATTTAGCAATAAAAATATCTCTATATTTATATAATTTTTTCTTTTGTATAAATATTCCTCTATTAGTATTATAAGACACTAATTGACATATTTTTGTAAATTTTCTTAATTTGTATTTTTGATATAATAATTAATACTCCATTCGTCCCATAAATAAGTATTCATTTGATTTAAGTTGTATTAGTATTATATTAATATGTAATAGGAATAAAGTAAAAATAAATAAAATAATCTTATTAGTTTGTATGATATAAATGTCACATTTGTGTAATATATTGTAAATGATAAAAATATTTGTAATGTTAGGTAGAACATTAGAGTCGGACGAAAGTAGTATAATATAATAAAAAATTTAAATATTAAATATTTTAAAATTTCAATTACAATATTCATGATATGCATCTTTCTCGCAACGGTTGATAAGACTCAAAATTTTTTCTATGTCAATCACAATATTTTGATGATAATTTCTTAGTTTCACAAGAGTTGATATATACAAAAATTTTTATTTAAATTTTATTATTTCCATATTATAAATTTAAAATATTTAAAGACATATATTCTAAATGTCTTTTACTTATATATATTGATTCTATAACCTTAAATATGTGTCATTAACCAAACTAATATTCCCTCCGTCCCAAACAGCGTGCAATATTTATATTTGGCACGAGAATTTAGGTGTGGAGTATTAACTATGGTAATTTGTGATAATTTGGATATTAAGTGATGTGATCGGAGAGATAAATGATTATTTGTTTTTTTATTTAAGTGATGTGATGAGATAAAGTGAAGTATATATTAACATATGTATATAAATATTACTCCATCCGTCCAATTTTTATTGTCCTAAAGTATATTTGCACGATTTTTTAGGTGATTGTCTTTTTTGTTATGAATTGACAAATTTGTCCATAATTGTATAGTAGAGATTAAAAGTAATAAATGAATGAAGGGTAAAAATGTAAAATTTGTGTTTAAAAAAAAGAAATAGGACAATAGTTATTGGACGTCCCAAATAGGAAAGTAGGATATTAGTTTGTGGACGGAGGGAGTATTAATTATTTTTAAATTTAAAAATATTGCAGTGAGTTTGGGACAAACAAAAAAAAATATTGCAAGGAAAAATAAGTCACGGTGACATACTGGTGTAAAAAATAAGTAGTGAAACAGTGGTAAGTTAAAAATAAATACACTGAATTTTTTTTTTTTAAAAAAAATAATGAAAATGGAGAAATATATAAAATTACACATTCAAACAATATGAATAAATATAAAAATATAAAATATTAATTTTTAAAATAATTTAGAAAACACAATAATGTGAAAGTCTACTAAGAACAGCGCCAAAAATAATACCAAGGAAATGTCGTGGAAGGTTCTAAAGAGGCATAGGAAGACGGGTGTGTTCACTTTTGCTTTATTATTATAATGAGCACTATTTTTTTATATATTATTTTAATTTAAATAATAATAAAAAATAAGGAATCACAATTTACCTGTGTTTATTAGCATTTGAATTGAAATAATTGTTCGATGTGATGTAAATATATATTGATATAATATTTTAAATATAAAATTAAAATTTAGTTTAATATAATAAATAAAAATAAATATATTATTTAATATTTTTTTAAAAAAAAATGAAATAGTAAAATCGAATTAAAAATTGATAAGTAAAAACGCACAAAGTTTCGGGATTTCACAAATTAATAAAAATATTCAATGATAATGTTGGATAAAATAAATTAGCAATCAATTAGAGTGTTTGATAAATAGCTTTTTGAAGAGCTTTTAGCTTATTGAACAATTTTTAACTGTTTGACCAGTCAAAAAGCTAATTTAGGTGTTTGGTAAATTAGCTTTTTGGAATAGTTTTTGGGTTCAAAAAGCTAATTTCAGAAAAGCTACTTTACCCAGCGCTTTGAAATAGTTTTTTCTGTAAATTTCTTTTATTCCTTATATGCCCTTAAAAATTTATTACGTATCTTACACAAATAAATATATTTTGATTATTTATTAATTATATTAGAATATTTTATTATATTATAATTTTACTTTTATAAATTTAAATAATTAATTTATATATAAAAATTATTTTAATTGTAAAATATATATTTATTAAAATCAACATAAAATAGAAAATATAAATATTAATAATTTATTTTTATATTAAAATTACATTATATAAATTTTATCCTAAAAATAAATTAAATAAGTTAAATTTATAGAAAATTATAAATATAATGAACTAATCTATAACTAACATAATAAATATATATACGAAAAATTTATTATTTTACATCATTTTCAATAGAAAAATTTATTTTATATATTCAATAAAAATATATTATTTTTAAAATCTAATTATAATAAAAATAAATACTTTTATAACACTTTTACAATTTTTAATAACTAATAACAAAAAATTTCAAACATTCTAAACTCAAAAAACATAATTGAATATATTAGAAAAAAATAAAATAAAAAATATTCTCAATTGTCATTTTACGTATAACCAGTTAATATCAAACCGTTATTTTACAAAATATTTTAATACAAACAACTAATCGAATCAACTAGTCAAACCAGCTAATTGAATCAGCTAAAAACTATCAGCTAATTAAATAAGCTAACAGCTAATGACTATCAGCTAATTGTCAAATAAGCTCTTAATCAAATCTTTTAATAGCCGCCAACTATACCATTATCCGGGTAGATAACAATTAAAATATAGGGAATAGTAGCCGTCTCTCTCTCTCTCTCTCTCTCTCTCTCTATATATATATATATTTTAATATTTTAAGAAAATTTTAACTTTATAGTAATAAGGAATAAATTTACACTACTTTATTTACACCCCATTTGTCCCAATTCACAAAGTTCTTTAAAATTTTATAGTAAATTAAAAAAAAAATATTTATTTCATTAGTCTACTGTCATATTTATTTTTTATGTCATTATATTAACTTTAAAAATATTCTTATATTTGTATAAAATTTTACACAAATATCCTTCTATTAATATTATAAAACATTAAATGAAAATATTTTTGTAATTTTTTTCTTAATTTACACTATATTTTGATATAATAATTAATATTAAAAAATTAATATGCAAAAAATAAATGACACTCTTAGAGCCGGACTGATGTAGTATTAGTTACTAAAAATATGTAAAATAATTTTAATATTTTTATTTTTTATTTTATATATAAATTAATTGTATGTGTAATGACATGTTCGTAATTTATATTTCCTTCTTCCCTTAAATAAGTATTCAGTTGTTTTCCTGCACATAATCTTTTTAATACTAGTATAATATCAATATATAGTACAAAGTAAAAGAAAATGACAAAAATAATCTTATTAGTATTGTATTATATAAAAGTAATGACATTGTGTAATATATTGTAAGTTGTAAAAGTACTTTTAAAGTTAGATAGCTAATATAGTTACTAAAAAAAATCAATAATTTGTTATGAAACAAATCATAATAAAAAAAATAGATTATTTGTTAAGGCTCGAAAATACTATAAAAATTCAAGAATATTTTTGACATTAGTGTGTAATTATATTTACTATAAAAAAAAGTTACTTTCGAGTGTGAGACAAATAAAAATACTCCTTCTGTTCCACTACAATAGTCTTGTTTACCATTTTTGTCCGTCCCAAAACAATAGTCTCATTTCCATAAATAATTATATCACCATAAAACTATCCCTACTTTTTCATTATTATTACACAATTGCCACTACTTTTTACACTAATATACTCACAAGAGCAAAAAAGTCATTTATTCTTACTTTTCACAAACTACCAATATAATATCAATATTTCTTAAATTTCGTATCTAACACAACAAGATTATACTTTTGGGACGAAAGGAGGAATAGTTTATGTTGGAATAAAAAAAAAATATTAACCGATAAACAGATTAAAATCTCTAGTGAAATAAAATAATATGCCTAAGCCATGAAGTAATACATACATAAATGCGGATAACGACACAAAATCACGAATTTGAGTACAAACACTAGAGCATCTTCTCTATTAATCACTTTGCCTTCTCCATTGAATGTAGCAGTGTTGAAATTCAACAGAGTATGGCAACACCAACAAAGGAAGAATGTGATAAATTCAATGGGCCACTACTAGTAAATGAAAAATTGGATTGGGCTACATTTCTTTATGCAAAACCAATTTTATGCAAACCAGAATCCGAATTTTTTGACAATCTGAGCCAATCTATACTCTGTTGGATGGTGCTGAGGTGACTCGGAGCTTGAATCCAGGAGCAAGTTTCTTTCCAAACCTTAGAGGAGAAAGGGACATTGGAAGAAGAGGTGTTGTATGTCCCCCGCCTCGTCTTTTACAAAGAACACACAACGGGTTGATGTCAAGTAAGAGGAGCCTATCCTTAGTCTTGAACTTTCCGAGGGCTGCCATCCATAGGATAAACGAGTGCTTAGGAAGCGCTGAAGAATTCCAGATGAATGAGAAAGGTTGCCAAAAAAGCC